AAGCCATTGATGAATATATTGAATAATACTGATTAATGCAGAGGAAATGCTCTGGTTCAGTTAAAGTGATCCTCTGTACAACACAATAATGCTCAGTGCTGCTTTTTGTTTTTCTCATCTCTGATGGGAAACTCATGGTCTAATTGTGCTTTTAAATGAACATAATGTTATACATAATAATTCTTGATACATCATGATACTGCTATTATAATCCTAGAACTGACAAAGTAGCCCGTGTATGGAATACTTTGTACATAGGAAATCTACCAATGGATAAAGAATGCATTTATTTTACCACTTCATAGTTTTCCTTCATTTCTGAACTGATGATACTTCATTAGATAGTAAGCCAGAAAGAGCCATGCCCAAGGAAACACCAAAGAAGAATGAGAACATCAGTGAAAAGCAAGTTAGTAAAAAACATCTTCTTATGACAAGACAGAGACAACTGGAGATATTTTGAAAATGAAGACTGATGAAGTACTAACAGTCTTGAAAAACTGTGACTTAAGAATAATGATGAGATATGCATTACCAATACTACATACTATCTTACTTCACATTCAGGTGAATAGCTAGTAAAGTTAGGCTGTTCCATGCAACCTGTATTTTCTGTTACCAGGCAATTCTCTATTTACTTGTCAAGTCATCAAAAGCTTAGGAAAGCTACAGCATATGAATTTCTCTGCATAGTCTTACAAAAATTCACCCAGTTTTTGTAATAGCTTTTAAAGAAACCACCCATGTAAATCTGGCAAAAGATGCACACAGAACATTGCTGAACTAAATTTGTATTTCCCTAGAACAATTTTTTTTTAAAAGATGCTTCCCCTACATAAATTAATCCATGCCTTTACACCTTCCTCTGGTAAAGTTCTCACTGACTTCACTAGGAGTTTCTCAGAAGAAATGAGTATTTCATAATGCTGTAAATCCCAAATCAGATTGGATTTCTTATTCACAATTTCCTCAATGAAAAACTGACACTGAGTTTGATGAAAAAATGAGTAGCACAAATATTTCAACACAACATAAAAAGTCTTATTCAATTGCAGAGACAAAGTAGCCATGCTCAATTTTTCTTAAAATCTTTTATAAAGAATGACACATTCAACCATGTAAACTCTGTTTAGGTCAAAGGAAATGTCTGAATTTATTCCATGTAAGAAGGTTGCTGCTATTTTACTGAAGGTATAGTTTTCTACTGCATATGTCCTTGAAAAAAATCAGTGCTCTTTCTAGGATGAGAGACATTAACTTTTCATGCAGTACATTGGATTGATGCATTTTGAAAATGAAATATTTCAAAGACCGATTTTTGAAATGTCCATTGGCAATTTAAAACTTCAATAAATCAATAAATATGTCCTATAAAGACCAACATTAAATGTATCTTTCAACTGATTAGTTCATTACACCTGTGCAGTCAGTGCTAACTAAAAATCAGAATAATGGAATTTTTACAGCTTCTTTCTCTAGCATATAGGGCTGCAGTGGATGCAGAGAGAAAAATAGACCTGGGAAGTCTGATGCTCATCATTCTAATGATCTACAGGCTCCATTGATTTCAATAACCTTTGCCAATTTAGACTAACTGGGAATCTAACACCTTCTGATTAACTTGCTGTCATGATGACCTGCTCTTAAAGGAAAGAATGACATCTGCATTACCTGCTCCATTTATACACCAGAGCCATAGGGAGAGGCAGTAAGCCAAAAGGATTGGGACAACTCCTTAGAGTGCAAATATTACAGGAATGGCCAACAAAAATGTTAATTAAAGATTAAATTGGTCAAGCTGTTTTAAGAACCGACTCAGTGTTCATGTCCCGAAAGCTTTAGGAAGCAAAGGCTAGCTCTAGAGTTTAAAGAGCAGGTTACCTGATGTTTTTGTGGATCAGCAGTGCTGTGGGAAAGCACAGCACCTGGAACATGCCCATCACCAGGAGGTTTCCCTGCCCCGGTGCCAGGGGAAACATGGGACATGGCCAGCAGCTGAGCACTGATGGGACTGTAGCCATTGGAAGTCTGATGAACGTTGTTCGAGGCAGCAGCTACTTCATCTTCATCACCGGAATCCGTAATCAGGATAAACTCAGCCTTAAAAAGGTCATTCTCCTGCATTTCTCCTTTGCTTGAGTTACGCGCCAGGAACTGGAAAGCTGTTTGAGTGCTGTCTGTATGGACGGTGGACACACAGTCTTGTCTGGCACCGCTCTTTATAGCCAGATCGTCGGAGACTGCTTTAGACTGCAAAAGTTCCAAGGAAAAAGATCACAATTAGCTGCATTTTAGTTGAGTTCCTCAAAATGCTAAGTAATTTTGGCTTGCAGAGGTGGCTGGCACTGCACTACCAAAAGTGCAGAGGGCAAATGAATTTGGGCATGAGCCCCCAGCAGAAACCAGCTTCCCAGGGAGCCCCCTCCTTCTAGTCCTCAGGCCAATGCCACAGGGTCTGCCTTACCAGCAACTCACAGAGAAACAAGGCACTCTTAAGCACAAGGATGGCCCCAGCCTGAGGCTGGCGCAGGAACCGAAAGGAGGGTGCAGTCAAGCCGAATGAGCTGTCAGACCAGACTATACCAGACACTATGGGAAGGCATCCCAACTGCAGAATCCACGGGAGCAGACAATGCTCCTCAGAGGAGTCTGACAGACAAATCTGGGACAAAACCTATACATATTAATGAAGAAACAAAGGCTTTTAAGTCAGGGCATTCTCTGAAGAGAGCAGACAAAGAATCTGAGGTCAGAGAGCTTTACTGTATCTTCAAGCATCTCAGTACAGACTATAATTGTTCTTATTTTCTGCAATTTCCACTTCCAGTATGCAACTTTTCAAGAATGCTTTGGATAAAAGCAGGAGCAGTGCAAGCTGGGCATACAATATACACATCATCAAATCATTCAGTATTGAAACTGCTATGGTAAATCATATTTCTCTTGAAGGAGGAATCAGGTAAACTAGAAATATTGTGTACTGCAAGATAAAGCCTGTAGATGGGGTTCATATTAGAATCCTGCGTGAGGAGTATAATTATTACAAATTTCCACTTCACTTGCAGATCCTCAAGTCCCTGGAGCTCAGTTCTTTAATAAAGGAAGGTACCACCAGTATGACTTTGGAGGTGTTATTTTTATTACCTGATGTTGGTTGGTTGGGGTTTTTTAATACTCACAGAATCATAGAATGGTTGGGCTGTAAAGTTCTAGATATTTTAGAAAAGGGAGTAATTGATGTTATGAATGCCTCAGTCCTACGTCCCCTGCCAGGAGAGTTTTCAACAGATAAATACAAGGAGGCAGACGTCAGGAACGTCTGATTCTGCTTTATCCAGGGTTATTTACAGCAAAATCAATATTGAGTGGCTGTGAAAAGTTTTTACATGGAAGAGTGCCAAGAATTGCAGCCCCAGCAACATCCCAGGTAAGGTGCTGTTACACAAGAGCAGAATCACCATAAGCATTAATTAACTCCTGAGGGTTTCAGTTTGCTTTCAAACAGTGTGGAATAAAATAAGAGGCTGTTAAGTGTTGTGAGGAAGGAAAGTAATAACAAACTGTGGGCTGGATAAAGGAAGGAGAACCAGGAATGGTGAGCTGTTGGCTTCACTGTCACAAGAAATCATGGGAACAGACAAGCTTTCAAAACCAAAAAGCAAGCTTTCACTTTGATGTTTTACTACTCAGCCATGAAAGAGATTGGCACCTTTGCTGGAAGCCATAGTAGAGGCATTTGCTTAAACCAGGATCCAATGACCAACTCCTATAAATTCCCATGTGATAACACTCCTAGCACACCACTCCATGGAGATCAGGAAGGAATCTCCCCTCGTCTGCCAAGAATATAGCCTTGCGTGACTGATAGAGGACAATATCAAGATGGGCAATGGTTTCCTTCTAATATAAACTCTGCCAAAGGCAAAACAGGTTGTTAAGCAGATATCAGACTTTTCTTGTGCATCGATTCTGCATCTCTGGTAAGCTTGGTAATTAAAGCCAAGCAAAAGCCAAGAAACAGTTCAAGGGGAAGAGCTTGAGTTCAGCAATGCTCAGGACAAAATTTTCTGTATTTTTTGAAAGAATGTAAAAACAAAATTCTACCTTATTTATGTTGTCTTGATTACTCAGATCCTTTGGCTCTTCTGGAATTGTTACAAGGAACTTAGAGACATCCACAACCTCAAAATGAGTTGGAAGTCTTCCAATGGATGGCACGAATGTGAAGGTTAATGGTTTGGTTCCAGATTCTTGAGAAGTTACCTACAAAACACACAATTAGTTCAACTTTCTTGTCCAAATAAAATTTTTGTCAGAGTTGAAATAACATTACTGCATCTACACAACTTATAAGTCTATTATTAACTATACTGGACGTTGGTTTATTAACAGATCATTGTATAATAAAGCCTTCTTTAACTGATAGAATACTGCCTTGATTGTATCCGTCATCATCCTGTATATTCTAATGGTGTGGCACAGCAGATGGGAGAAAATTCATTCAATAATTTGTTACACTTTTACAAACCAACGTTACATTTTCCATACCAGAAACAGAAAATCATATTCAATTTATTTCAAGGCTGCTTTTATCTTTGTTTAACTCTACTTTAGTAGAACAGTAATGTAATTTTACCATTGTATCTAGCCCCTTGAGTATTTGCTTAACGACTTATAACAAATTAGAAAAACCTTTTCTCTGCAAAAAGAAAGCAAAACATGTTTACATTTTCTAATGTAGCTGTAGCAAATGCGGCTAATTCTGAACAACATTTGGGATTAATTCTGATTCAAAGAAAGGATTTTCTTCCATTTTCTTTGGACCATTCAGTCACATACACCAACTAATTTTGTGTCTGCCTTTTCATTTCTCTCCTCCTAACTTACATTCTCACTAGAACCATGTCCGTAGGGCCTGAATGCACTGAAGAGACTCTAAGAGAAGGTGATTTCACCTAAACGTTCAGTTTTATCAGTGCTCTCCCATCACTTCCATCTTCTTCACAGGAGATACCGGACAGGAAAAAGAGGTCCCCACAGTGGTAAAACTCTCAGTTGCGTTGCCAGATATCAGGGAGAGAAACTGCAAAGGCCTTGGCAAGGTCAATAGAGGGAACCACATCCCACACTACTGAACCCCACATGCTGAGTTTCCGCATTACCTGTTGGGTTAGAAAATCCTTCTTACTGATACAAAACTATGGAATGTAAAGATTTTTCATTGTTTTGTTCTCTGATTTAAAGCTTATGGCAGTTAATTATGTTCTCAGTGAACTCTAATATGCAAACCTTTGAATCATAGAGAAAAACAGGACCAGTGGTTTGACTTTTTTTTTTTTCTTCTTACTTGTTTAAAGTTAAACCAATTGGAGAGCTATGGCTGTCATTGTGCTACTTTGCAATTTGTATCCATAAATAAACAGCTGCTACAGAACAGAGTGGAATCATGGAATGCATTCACATGATTTCCTGTGGCTGGAACATCAGAAATGGTAGTTAGAGTTATCCTGTTTTCAAAAAGTCTAAGCAAATATTAGTTACATTCACTGACAGCTATCTCCTGGAGGGCTTGCGCAAAACAGAGGTAGGTTATTTATACAAACACTAGCAACTGCTGTTTTCTCTACAGTTTAGGAGAATCCTGCTCTCTCATACACAATCAGAATAAATTTCCATGCGTCCACCTCTAATTCTGAAACAATAAGATGTTTTGATGTTTGAAAGTGAAAAATCTGAATAAATGGCTATCATCTTGGTTCTGAAATTCGACTTTTATATTCCCAAACTCACACTAATAGGTTACGTTACACTGCAGGCTTGCTACCCAGTTAGAGATGTGCACTGCAAGGCTGCAGGGACAAGGTGATCTCCTACTTCCCCCTCCACTCCTCTTCGCACAATTGGCAAAGCACAGGAGCACACAGCGAAACACTTAGGTCTTGTTCCTGATATCAGTCGGCAGAGTAACATCAGTACTCAATGATGTAATCATTAGTGAGCAGCAGTCAGTCCCTACAATGCCACTAGGGATGTAGCCTCTGCCCAAGCACCTGCTGTACCCAAAGGCGCTCCTCAAGAAGCAGGATTACCTGCATGCAGGCAGGAGCATCCATCATATAAGCATTAGTGATTTCTGTACAGCTGACACTATCCATTACTGTCTTACACAGCACCTGAGTCTCCACTGAAATCACCTGGAGATGGCCTGTGCTTTCCTGCCAATTTGTAGCTGTGCTTTCATCTTCTGCCCCTAATTAGGAAATGCAGCTCTGGCTACTTTGTTCATGTTTACTAACATTTTCCTCCTCTAACTCATGCTTTTGTCATTCTCTTGTTAGATACTTGACATCAGCTGTTTCATACCAGTGAATATTTTCATGTCAGAGCATAAAATATTCCTTATAAAAGAAAAAGGAAGAGAGAGAGAAAGTGTGATATAGCAAGCCCACATACAAACAGATTTATAGAAAATTCCAATCAAACGTGGTAGCATTGCTAAACTTCCCAGTACTTTATCTGCATATTTGTACCAAGGAAATACAAACAAAAAGCCAAGTCATGAGACTCCAGACTGGTGCATAGTAATGGGGAGATCTTGCCATAACCTAGTTCTATATTGTGTCTTACCCTGTGCACCCAATTTTATTGCTCTTGTGGAAAAAATAAAGAATACATGAAGAAAACCTTGCTACACTTGGACTAAACATATTGTGGAAATAACCTTCAAAATTGTTTGCAAGTTAAAATAAAGATTGGAAAAGACATATAAAGATGTGTAAGCTAGAATATTAATTTTCAAGTGGAAGATGCCATTAAAGTATGCCATTATTTATATTCCCCTAGTATATTCTATTTTTAAAGTTTGGAGTTTAGAAAGCATAAAACACCAAATAGAATTGCTGCATTTCAGAAAGTTTTAAATTGACAGATACTGCATGAGGCAGTGTTCAGGAATGTGCTCCTCTTATATTCACTCATAGTAAGTGCAAAACAGGAACTTCTAGCAGGTAAACCTGGTCGTGCAATCTAGGCTGCATCACAGAAACCTAGATAATGAGCAAATATCACAAAACTGGTCAAAAAATGCAAACATTTCCACTGGGGGGTGGGGGGGAGATGAAAAACTCTTACTTAAAAGTATCTTTTAAGTGGCCAGTTTTATTTTACAGATTGCAGAAAATAAGCAAAAATACTTTGATATTTTATAACTTAAATTTTAATTGGACTATGTGAAGCACAAGGAACCATTACATAGGGGTTTTTTTCAAGGCAAAGAAAGAATTCGTGCAGATTATTTCATATACTCATTTGATTTACTATATCTCTGGCTGATGTATCTATCCTTGAAGAATTGAAATAAAACAGGTTGGACTTTCAGCACGTAGTTGCAGATATTAAAATCCACTCTGATATGTAAATAATAGAGAAATAACCTTAAAATTAAAATTTATAAATATATATATGACATTTTCTTGCAGATTATCATATTTTCTCCAAAACCAGTAGCAACAGCAAAAGGAATTCAATGCCATACATTCCTTGCTGTCATAATTCACTGGACTCAATAGAGCTACAGTGGCAGAAAAATACCATATGTGATGTCTACTGAAGTTAATACTAATTAATTCTGGTTTCTATTATATAATCAACTTTATACACAATTAAATAATTGATTGTTTAAAAATGTATCCTTTCATAATACTTAGTTCTTTGAAGAATATAAATTATGGAGTTTAATATAAATAACCTTTGAATATCCATTGGGGGCTATAGTCTCCTGCATAATATATTGTTGAATAGCTTCAAAAGGAGAAACTTATCCTAGATGACTTCCATGACTTCATATGTCATCAATTTACAAACAGGTTTGTTGCATAATTATTACCATCAATTTACAACTACCTCAGGGATAGTAACTTAAACTATATTAATTGTTGCTTTCATTACCACAGCTTCTACAGTCCTTCTTTGTAGAGCAAATTTTTATTGTCTTGGTTACCTTACAAAGACAAATGAACACTTTCATCTATCTAATCTCTCACATGCTACATATGCATTCAGCATACTGCCTATTTTGTAATTTAAATTGAGGTCCCATTGTCAGTGATTGCTTCCCAGGATTTCCTTCTGGAATACAGATTGCTAAAGTGAAATTGAATATGCTGGTTCGCATTACCACTTCTTCCACTGTTCTGCTAATGTAAGTCATTTCGCTAATAAGACAACATCTTGAGAAAACCTCATGCTTGAAATATCAAGTACTTCCTTTTGAGGCTGTTTATTTATTTGTTTCAATTACAGAAAAGGGAATATATGCATAAATAATAGCAAAATAACAAGTGTGTGCATTGTGACATAGAAGCATGTTGACTGAAGCACTGTTTTGGACAGAGCACAAATTCACATGCCCACAATTCCTGTGTGATAAATATAGCTCTGACACACAGAGCACAGCTAACGCCATTCACCCAGCCAAGGAGAGAAGACATCCAAAAACACGGCCTGTGTTGTGTAACTGCTCCTTAAACTCCTTTTCTGTGTTCAGAAAAAAGACCACAAAGAAACAGTCTCCTCCTCAACACAGAGAAAAGGGCTAGTCTACTACAGATTAAATTATCAGTTAATGAGATGTAAGAATCTTCAGCATATTTTCATATCCTGACTTATTTAAAGCTATTGTAGTAACCTAATACAGACAAACTGATTACTGTGTAATACAAGCCCTGGCTTTTCTAAAAACTTTACAAACAGCAGCAGATTATCATCTGAACACCAGATTTATAACTGTGAAACTTCAGGGGAAAAGCTAAATCTACTCCAGAACTCCAGGATGAAATTACAACCCAGCTGAAGTTTGTACCAGAATTCCCACTGACAGCTGTGGTCCAAGAACTTCCCCAAGCCATTTGCCTTGCTCTGTAATGTGCGCATAGTATCACCTTCAGCACGTCACTTTTGCTTCTTTCAGTACAGCAGCACACAGCAAAATGCACACACAGACAAATATCTTTTGAAAATTAACGTGTATAAATCACTAGAAAGAGCAAATGAATAGTATAAAATTGTAATCTATTATTCAAAATTAAAGAGCTCATTCAGGTGAAATCTTTCTTTTCAACAATAATTTTAATTAGATCTTCAGACCAGCAGATTTTATACAACTGTAATTGCCCTTTCATGCTGGTCTACATGTATGGAATCATGGAATCACAGAATTGCTTGGGTTGAAAAAGATCTTTAAGATCATCAAGTCCAACCGTTAACATAAAACTGCCAAGTACACCACTAAAACATGTTCCTAAGTACCACAGCTACACATCTCCTAAATACCTTCAGGGATGGTGACTCCACCACTTCCCTGGGCAGCCTGTTTCAATGCCTGACAACCCTTTTGATGAAAACATTTTCCCTAATATCCAGTTTAAAATTCACCTGGCAATCATACTTCCCCTTAGTTGCAGGATACCGGCTAAACAAGATGAAAAGTAAGTAAAGATGTTTCATTTTTCTCTTTGCAAAAGGGCAGTAAAATACCTTGCCCGTTACATTTAATTACAGAATCATAGAGAAACCTGTTATAATTGCCTGTTGTAATTACCAGCACAATGTTTCCTTTGTTCGATTGGCCCCTTAACTTTCACCCATAAGCTCTTAACCTGTTCATTGCTGTTTTACAAAGATCATAGAATCACAGGGTCATAGAATAGTTTGTGCTGGAAGAGATCAACCAGTCCACCCTCCCTGCCATGGGCTGGGACACCTCCCACTAGACCAAGTTGCTCAAAGCCCCATCCAACCTGGCCTTGAACATTTCCAGGGAGGGGGCATCCCCAACTTCCCTGGGCAACCTGTGCCAGTGGCACCATCCTCATAGTGAAGAATTTCTTCCTAATGTCTAATCTAAATCTACCTCCTTTCGCAGAATCACAGAACCACAGAATCACAGAACATTAGGGATTGGAAGGGACCTCAAAAGATCATCTAGTCCAATCCCCCTGCCGGAGCAGGAACACCTAGATGAGGTTGCACAGGAAGGCGTCCAGGCGGGTTTTGAATGTCTCCAGAGAAGGAGACTCCACAACCTCTTCCAGGGCTCTGTCACCCTCACTGAGAAGAAGTTTCTTCTCAAATTTAAGTGGAACCTCCTGTGTTCCAGCTTGTGGCCATTACCCCTTGTCCTATCATTGTTTGTCACCAAGAAGAGCCTGGCTCCATCCTCGTGACACTCACCCTTTAAATATTTATAAACATGAATGAGGTCTCCCCTCAGTCTCCTCTTCTGCAAACTAAAGAGCCCCAGCTCCCTCAGCCGCTCCTCATAAGGGAGATGCTCCACTCCTTTGATCATCTTTGTAGCCCTAAATGGCTTTCAGTTTAAAGCCATTACCCCTTGTCCTATCAAAACAGATCTTTGTAAACAGTCCTTCCCTAGCTTTATTGTAGGCCTCCTTCAGCTACTGAAAGGCTGCTATTGGGTCTCCCTGGAGCTTTCTCCAGGATGAACAACCCCAACTCTTTCAGCCTGTCCCCACAGGGGAAGTGCTCCAGCTCCCAATCATCTTTGTGGCCCTCCTCTGGACTCTCTCCAACAAGTCCATGTCCCTCTTATGTTGCAGGCCTGAGAGCTGGATGCAGTACTCCAGGTGGTGTCTCAGGATAGCAGAGAGAATCACATCCCTCAACCTGCTGGTTGTACTTCCTTTGATGCAGCTCAGGATATGGTTGGCCTTCTGGGCTGGAAGCACACATTGCCAGTTCAAGTTGGGCTTCTCATCAACCAGTACCCCCAAGTCCTTCTCTTCAGTGCTGCTCTTAATCCATTCTCCACCCAGCCTGTATTTGTTCTTCAGATTGCCCTGACCATGTGCAAGACCTTGGACTTAGTCTTGTTGAACTTCATGAGTTTCACACAGGCCTACCTGTCAAGGTCCCTTCAGAGAGCATCCCTTCCCTCCAGTGTGTCAGCTGCACCACATAGCTTGGTGTCTTTGGCAAACTTGCTGAGGGTGCACTCAATCCTACTGTCCATGTCACTGACAAAATTGCTAAACAACACCGGTCCCAATACTGACTCCTTAGGAGCACCACTTGTCACTGGTCTCTACTTGGATATCAAGCCATTGCCAGTGCAACCATGCAGCCAGTTCCTTATCCA